GTAATGAGGGACTGTTTTGGTGTCTGTTGCTATGAGATTGTGTTCACTGATCCTCAGCTGATGTAAGCCGCTGTTCTCTTTTTGCCCAAGACGAATGAACTTGAGTGAAAGCGTTCTAACAGTGCCTGCTAGTGGTGCTTCAAGAAGAGGCTCTATATGCTCTGCTTACCAAATGTTAGTCTAGCCCAAAAGAGAGATCAGATGACAAGGAGTTTGGCTTGGCTGAATTTAGGCATATGAAATATTAGCCAAAAAAGGTCAAGTTTGATAATAAGAGAAGTAGGTACAAGTAGATTTTATGATAATAATGGGATACAGACCCTGCCCATATACACACATACACACAAACACACATACCAAGAAATATCTTTTCTTTTGGGGGAAGCAAAGATCAGAAATCAAAATGTGAAGTTATTTTACTATTTCTCTTGCTCACTATAAATATAATATTCAATTGTGTTTTGCAAACCAAATTCATAACCACCAAATTATGTATATAGAGTATATCTTGGCATTTCCCTAAAGGATGAGAAAAAAAAAATCCCACTCATTTTGTGACTGATTGCTTGGCTTATCAACTTTTGTATAACACTTTAAATCTTTATTTTATTGCAATAAAATGTCAATGGACACTTTAAAAGAGAAAAATATCTATTTTAAATTTAAAGAAATATTATTCTGGGTTGAAATGAGCTTACAAAACTGAAATTCTTGTGAACATTAGCACATCATTTTTTTGTGTGAAATTGCTTTTAAAATATATATTTACATTAATATACTAATATGGACTAACTAAAACTGTTGGCGATATTCTTAGATTGTACCTACTACTCCCTAGCCAACAATCCCAATCTCTCCTTCTTTCTTTTTAACAAATAAAGCTTGTTACAGTGTTTTTAAGATATATCTACATGATGCAACTTTTCTTGTGTTTTAAATCTGTGTATAACTATTTGGCTCAAATTTATATATTTCTATATATTCTCTCCTTTATATTCACATTTCCACTTAACTCATCTACAGTAAAATTAGGGAAGTTGAGGAGGGAATGTTTCCACCCCAAACATCCTAAAATTTGGCAGCATCCTGGATCTGTTCTGGTCTACAGGTAACTCCAAATGACTCATTTGATATCAGAGGTGATCTTTCCTTAACCAATAAACTGCCTTTACTATGTCCCCAAAAGGGACCTGGCAAAGGCCAGTTAATCTGTTTCAATATCTCCCAGTAGATTTGCTCTAAATCTTCACAAACAGGAAAAATCAGTTTTCCATTTAAGTCTCTGAATAGAAATCCAGTTTTCATGGAAAGATATTCATAGAGTATAACCTGTAAATATTTCAATTTTCAGTCTCACTGCTATGTTTAAATGTGTATCCACATGTAATTAAAGATATAGAATACTGGTTTGCTCTGACCACCGTTATCTGTTGATGTTATAATGGGATAATATAATTAAGAAAAAAATCAGGAGGTTTACAGTGAAAATGGTAACTATAATTGGTTTGGTCATTTAAGACACATTGCAGTTTGCAGTGAGTAGATCATTCCCAAAGCTACCAATTGTTCCTTATTCAGTTCATGCAACCCTCTAAGGAACATCTTTCAATAACCCAAGCCTTTATAAATCTTGGTGGGCCTGATGGTTTTTTTATCCTTGAACATAGATATTTACATTAAGGAATAATTGACTACTTTATAAGGTTGGACCTTGAACAGATGTTCCTAGACAATATTTCTAAGTAACTGGCCTAAAATCCTGAGGTGGGAGAGACTTATCAAGATAAATCACTCTTTATACAACATTGTAAATTATTATTGTCATTTAAAATAGAAACAGCCTTTCTTTACTATAATAAATGTACACTGATAAATTATCAACTTTCCTGCCTTCTCTAATAAGTGACTTTATACATCAATGTCCATGCTGTTTTCTTCTACCCTTGAAGACCAATGTGGTAGGAAGTATACCAGTTAGTTCTGCTGATGTTAAACTTGACTGAAAGTTATCCATCATGTACTAATGGCATCCGAAAATTTTATTAAAAATATATAAATTATTGAAATAAACCAAATTATCCAGATCTGTAGTAATTTTCCCACAACTGTGCCCATCTCACTTTCTCCTAGGAACAGGATCAGATGAAATGCAAAGATTAACACCATGTTGGTCTTTTAAATGATAGCAGGGAATATGGATGAATTGCATATTCATTACTAGAGAAAACCATGAACCCATCTGCCAGGAAAAAAAAAATAATCAAGGTAGACTTAAAAAAAGGCATGAAAAAAATATTGAGGTTTAATTTCAAGGTAAAGGAAAAGGTGCAGCACTGAGGAGCAAAAGGACTGCTTTACATGGAATGACCATCTTCAATATTAAGTAATACATATTCATTTTAAAAGAATTAAATTGCCCTTCCTTCCATGGGATCTCTGGCTAGTCCTTTGCACATTAACACTATATCTATCAATATTAGTTTGTTTTCAAAGAACTCAAATCACTTTAATTAACCCTGAGAATGTTTATTAACATACTACCTTTCTAAAATGGAATACTAGTACTTGCCCGGTACCTTGAAAAGAACAACTTTTTAAAAAGAATGCTATAATCTTGATGGTGTCAGTACACCTGTTTATATAAAAGGAAAGCTGAAAATCAAGCTTGGAAAGCATTAGATAAATATGATGAACTTCAAATAAAAATCTGTTAAGTAAATCAGGTCCCAGGATGAGAGAATCAAACTATATCTTGCTAATACCCAACTACTGTAGTTGATTTAATTAATATTTTTTTCAAGCCAATTATTTGGTAATATATATGAAAAATAAATAGTTGAATGATTTTAAGTTTCCATGATATTCAGTAGCATGGCATTTCAGGTACTTGGCCAGAGTTCTGCCAAGTTTAAGGAGAAGCTTGCAATTTCTGAAATTTTTGTTTTGTTTTGTTTCTTTTGAGCACAGCTGAATTACAATACTTTCAAATTCTAAAAGGAATCCAATTGGCTCAAATTTAATCACAGTTTCAATTTAAATATTTAGAAATGCTCTGAAGTACACTAAATGAACTGTTATTTGGATCTAGCCAGCAGCTGAAGAGTTGTAGCAGTCCCAAATGTATATCCTTTTAAAAAGTACCACATGGATCTGGACAGCACCAAACAGTGTAAACACTGGTAACTACACAATGTATCACTCTCTCTTCATGCATTCTCTCCTGATCAGCAGTTGGGAACATAAACCACAAATGTTTACCAAATTGAAAAATCACTGGACAGTCAATTTGAGTCAAGGATCTGTTTCCAGTTATAAGTAACAGAATCTTATACAACCAACCTACCCAAATTGCTAAGGAAAGAAAACGTTAAAAGTTCATGTACAGCAAACTGTATTGCTGAATTTAAGTTCAAGTTTTTAACTGTAAGTAAAAAGATTTGTATTGACAAATAATAATTAATATTCCCAGGTAAGGCATTTTATATATCAAATATTGATATTTGTTATTTTAATGAAAATTTTTATATACATGTTACTTTCTTAATAATACCAAAGTAATTATAAATCAATTACAAATAAAGTTTATCTGATTTTAAATAATTACTTATAGTTTATAATACTAAGTATCTTATATAAATAATACTAAGTATCTCCTTAATGCTAAGTTTATGTGTGCTAGTGGGAATGTATAGATGAATAAAACATCTATTTTTTTATAGTGACCATAGTGTAATAAAAGAAAATATAGAGGTAAATAAATAAGTGACATATTCTAGAACAGATAAATACAAGATATGCTTTGACCCAAGTGATAATTGCACCTATGTTGGACAATGCCAAAATATACCTATCTTCTTCAGAATTCTCTTTATGAATGAATTAATATATAGTGAAAACTCAGCTTGTGAACCCAAAGATAGACCAGAAATGCTGGCAAATGAAAAAAAAAAAAAGGTCTTAAAATGGTTGGGCTTTAAACAATTTAAGCTCTCTAGGCCACCTGATATTCCAGACAATGAAAAACAAAGATGAAATGCTGTGTGTGCGTGCGTGTGTGTGTGTGTGTGTGTGTGTGTGTAAGACATCCAAATCTTATTACCCAACAGAATTTTTAAAAGTTCCAGTCATGCTTTTCTAGGTACATCACCTTGCAGTAACAGCATACATGGCAATAGTTGGAATAATTTGATCAATGTAGATAGAAAAGATGGTTAGACCAAAAAAGTTGACCTTCCTAATTCTTTTCCATAGTAGACTTTTCATTTAAGACTATCATTTTTCTAAAACATTATTTTGGTACTCTGTAGATCAAAAATGTGTCTGTATAGTTTGCATAAATAAGATTTGGTAAATAACCTGATTTTCTGGGAATTGATCCAAGTGAAACCTCTACTCTTTTGAAGTTCATCCCTCAGTGATTCTTAAGGAGAATTTAGCTTTTTTGAAGTCTCACTGAAGTATTTAGTGGCTTGCTCCCCTAATCCAAGGGAGACTTCTGGGCTACATTTAACAGAGAACAGATGGCTCCTTTTTAATGTCCTTTGTGGTCGTTATAATAATACATTCAAAAATAGCTAATCATGTCACACTAGAGTAGCTGAGTACACTTGAAGATATTGAGCACAGTTACTTTATTATTGCATCTAGATTTCCATGTCTGTTAGACAGCCTACAATAACCAAGATTTTTCTCTCATTTCTCATAAGAGAAAATATGTCAGAATTTATAGGTTAATGCATAGGCTAATAAGTTTTGTATATTTTAGTGCAGAATGGATATTCAAAACATAAGAAATTATCTCTAGCAAAATAGTTTGTAGATTATTTACAGAATCTGGGAAAAATACAGAACCTTTCTAAGGAATCACTTGAGAAAGGTCAGAAGTTATTACCAAAACTATATAGTTCTACGCTGTGTCTTCTACATTTATACATATTAATGCGTCCAGAATTCTAATACATTTCCTCAACATTTCCAATCACAAACCTAAGTTCATTTACCTTAATCACTTCAGAAGAAGAGAGCCAATTTGATCCTTCGTTCTTTACCCAGAGATGGCTTAATCTATTATTTATTGTAGAGATAAAATCTTAGCATGCTATGTGGTTATATTGAATTGAGACTCAATGTAAAAAAAAAAATAGAATCATTTCATCACAGTATTATGTATTGTTCACTTGATTCAATAGAGGTAGAATTCTAACTATTCTAGTACTAGAATGGAATTTAGAGATTATAATCTAAATTTCATATTTTAAACTTGGTGAAAGTTAGGCCTAAAGAGGTATGAAAGAAGACTACAGCATTAATGAGGTTCATGGGTCACATGAAACAAATTCCTGGAAGAATGTCTGTGTATAAGATAAAAAGAATAAAAATCTTGTGAGAGCAAATAATAGTTTAAAATAAATGCTAACTTTCCTTGAACACTTAGTCCATTTCTGCTGTTGTAGCAAAATAAAACAGAACAGATCATTTATAAGAACAGAACCCTTATTTCTCCTAGTTCTGGAGCCTGAGAAGTCCAAGATCAAGGCCCCAGCCTCAGTGTCTGCTGAGACCCATTTCACCATTGTCTTCTTCTCATGGTGGCATCCTAACATGGCAGAGGGTAGAAGGAAAAATAAGATGTAAATTACCCCTGCAAGACATTTTATAAGCACACTAATTCCATTCATAATTCCTCATGGCTTATCACCTGCTAAAGGCCCTAATTCAATACCACCACGACGGGGATTAAGTTTCAAAGTAAACTTTGGAGAGGGCACCATTATCAACACCATCTTATGAGCTAAAGACTGTGCCACATATTTCACCTACATGGTTTTACTTAAGCCATTCAGAAATTGTTAGAAGGAGGTCTTATTATTGAGACAAGCGTTTAAGAAGCTAGAATAAGTCTATGTAGTTTTGATGGAGGTGAAACTCTAAAGTCAAAACAACATATCATTTTGGTTTTTTTATTCCCAAAGGGGGGAAAAAAAAAAGAAACTTTGTTCTTTCCATTGCATAAGAAGCATGCTTTGGGAATCAATTCTTTCAAGTTTCTGATTTGTTCCATGTATAATTTGGCCATAATTTTGATTTAAGGAGTAATCCTCTAGGAGAGCTTTCCTTCCTTTTGAACTGTGGTATCATTTACCCCTTCTTCATTCTCCATCACTACTTGTTTACTGAATGGCCTTCACCTTTAATGAGAACTGAACATGTTGATAATTATCTCATCCAAAACCATACTACTTTCCAAACACTTCTACAGGAACAGACAATTTCAGGGTATAAAACTGGTCCTTAGCATATACCCGTACTATGTTTTCTCTTTATATTGTATAAATCTTTCACTTTTTACTAATGTTTATCCACTTGAAATGAATGCTTTTGTAAAGAGGAGTTATAGACCCTAGGGAAAAGAATAAGTCATTAATATAAACACAATTTATAGAATGAACTCAATGAAAGATAAAATTATCATGAAATACAATTTTCTAGCCTTATTTTAATTGATGGAAGCAGTGGTAATAATGCTTAGTCATTACTAAATTTAAGTGACTGAGAACATCTTTGAATAGTTACTACTTATTGGTTTATTTCTGGGACTGTTGTAAACTACATCCTACCCTCAGTACATGATGTTCAGAAATTATACATTATTTATCTCTAAATACACACATGATGTCCAGCAAATGTCAGATTCGCATAAGCAGGGATGTTAATATTTATTCTGAGTTCATTGCATACCAAACTCAGTAGAGTACTTCATTTATTGTAGGCTATTTGTTCTTAAAAACCACCCCTGGAGGTATCATTATCCCCATACAATGTGGAAAAAAAAAGCTGAGTTGGAATTTACATCCCGGTATGTCTGATCCTAGAACTCACTTTTCATTGTTGCCGCCAACCTGCTCAAATTGCTTTTAGAACAGAGGGATATTTTGCCTATTACCTTGTTTGATTAGGCCAAGTCACCT